TCATCAAAACATTTTGTTGCCCTTGAACAGTATTCAAGCAAATTCTACATTGTTTCCGACATGCGAAGTTAACCGGTAAAGAATATAAATGATGGCATAAAGTACCTGCTGCCAATTGTTCCAAGGTTTAGATGATAGGACAATAGCTCACTTTTGTTTTGAGAATACCTGATGTGTTGATTATACACGGAATGTCATTTTTATAATGTTAAAGCTTATTCTTGAAACTGCTCACCAAAAATGGGGTCATTATTGAATAAAAAACAGATTGAACCTTAACCTATAGGTAGGCTAAACAGAATCGGTAAAACATGTTAAACATGTAGATGACAAGTCAATTTTTTACACGAGGCAGAAGGTTCACTCTCCATTCTATGAAATTTGTACTAGATTTGGTACTAGGGAAGCAAAATCCTTTTCTCATAAAACTGGGTGATAACAAATATCGCTTAATCTTATAGCTTTGCACTCTTGCTTTTCCAAAAGACTGACTTTTCTGCAGCCGAAGTGTTGTAAGTGGCTTTTTAAGACTCTAAGTAATGGAAAACAGCCGGAATGTCAGTCTGTGCAATAATTACTGCTGTACCAATCTTGGTTACCTTAGTGCAAGCAACACAATAAAGACATTTTTTACGGTAGCTTTGCGAAAATGACCCCAAATCCTTCTCTGCCTCTCTGCTTTAATAGGTTTAAATCATACTCATCATCATTTATTTACTGTCGCAATGTTGTAGCTACATAATCAAAGTGTCGAACTGTTCAACATCGGTCTTCAAAGATGTATTTCAACTGCCATAGCACAACTACAGAAAATGGTCGCATAGTTACGTAAACACATAGATGTGCACTTAATGACTACGTCATTTTATACAGGCGATCAATTATGTTTTTCATGGGGACATGGGACTCGAGCAATCTATTCTTCTTCCTCTTCTTCTTCCTCCTCCTCTTCTTCCTCTTCTTCTTCCTCTTCCTCCTCTTCTTCTTCCTGAAATCAAGACTAGAGATTTCGATAACAAGATAATTTGACAATGATGCATGGATGGGGATATGATGTGAATCAGGGAACTGGGGTAGGGGACCATTCTTTCCCAGTAGATTCTGCCTTTCCCGTTCTACAAGTAAAACTGCTATTACTGATTGTTGCAGTTTGTACCAGTTGT